GGCATAAAAGCGGCCTCACCTAACCTCATCTAAACGTGTCTGAAGAAGAGGAGGCGAAGGCCAGCCGAAATGCTTCATCTTTCAATTCTGTCTATGAAGTCTAGAGCAGTCTGCACGCAAACAGGCGATTAGGTGAGAAACTGAAAAACCACAAATTGCAGTAATACTAGATTACTACGAGACAGTTGAGCGAGACGTTTCTATTGCTAGGAACAGGAAAAACCGTTTTTGCCTATGATAGGCGCGTTATGACCGGGAAAGCCATAAGCCATCAACGAGGATTTATCATTAACGGTACAGAACTGGTATTTCTTAATGCGTCAGACCAGTTGAGTAGCCAAACCTGATTACGTACTATAAAAGTATAAGCTGCAGATTTTCTCATCATCGTTAACACGGTTAATATATGGGGCAAAACCTAACTAGAAAACAGACTAGATTAGACTGGATTCACGATATAGTTAACCTGTCTGGAATGGTACTGCAGATTTGTGAGCGGTTTTTTAGCTACAGATGTAAAAACTACATATTTTCCCAAATGGCCTGTCCATTTCACTACACCCATCGTATATTAGACATTTAAGATTATTTTTACCATTAACAACATACTGCACTGAGTGAATAGAGGAGCACTAAAAAGAATGGCCAAACCGTAGAAAAGCCCATATGACCACATCAGTATACTATATTGTAACACTTACCCCTAAGTAATCGAGTTATCAGCTCTCTCATTCTCACGCGACCGGTCCGAGGTTCAGTTAAACTTGATCCTTTCTCGAACAAGCTAACTATTTATAACTTATAGTTATCCTGTTTATTTTTGAAATTGCAATCACGTTGACCAATTCATTTAAGAAAGCAGGCACCGTGTTCGCGAGGATGTTTGTAACTTCATTTTGAACCTTTTTGATCGCTTCAAGATCATAAACTTAAACTTACTAAATTCTTGTGAAGCATTTAAGCAAAGCGCCGAGAGCATAGAAAACTGGTCATAAAACTGATGAATCTGCCAAACAGTTAATTCAGTGTAAATGTTTCACGGAAACCGGCTTTGAGCACGAAAGTGCAAAAGCAAACTTTCTCACAAACTTTTAACTTCCTTAATAGAAGATCGCACTCTTCATAATTCTCAATGTATCTGTGAAACAGAACAGACAATGGTCAAAGTACGGGATTCTACAAAAGGGCACCGAATATCGGTGAAGAATTGAATACTCCTACGTAGTAATGCTAAGCTGCAGCCTTGACGGCAGCAACTCTGAAAAAGTCGGTTGACGAAGCAAAGGTACCCAGGGCAAACTGGACTCATTAAGCGGTACAAGCAACTTTGTCCATGGAAAACATTTCCTTCGATCCAAGCTGAAGGATCCAGTCGCATCTTTCACATTATGCTCCGAAAGATTCTGCAGTGAGATTCTTTCCTCTACCTTCTAAGAGAGAGTTGATGACTTATGAATATGATGGAGTGGACAGAAAATCTTGGCAATGTCTGACGGATGAGAAAGTTTTGGGCAACTCTGATGTTCGCTTGTTAAACCTTGCCATTCGTCTTGCCATCGCTTACAATGCAGCTGTCTAAAGTAAACTTCAGGTCGTTGAACCCCCAGGCATGGAACTGGATCGCCTTCAGTGATTTTTGCCGAACGAAATTCGATCGCTACAAAAAGGAAGGCCGGTCGGATCTACTGGTGTTGTTAAGAGGATTGGAGCACGGAACTTGTATGGCTACTCTACGGAAATGCGACAGCCGATCACATCTTCGGCGCCATTAAATGACTCAGAATCAATACATTTTCATCCATCTTTGACAGTCACTTCAAACCATAGCAAAAAAGAGAATCTCTCTTCACAAAGGATAACATCTGCTATCGTCAGCACAAGATTAACACTTGTTAATGTACTGCAACGCCAGCAGATGAGTTTCGATGTCTTCATAACCAGGAAGTGCAAATATTACTGTAAATGGCTCAGCATGAGGTGTGAGGTTTCATTCTTCACCTAACAAATATTGCTAAGACGGCTTATTCTAACGTCAATCTATTGGCAATGATGAACAATGCCACTCCAGTTACAATTACAGAAAAAAACTATTTTAATTCAATATCAGGAATGACAGATAAACAGCATAAAACAGCGAGGGCTGAATTACGCGATGAAACTTAAATAGCATATCCGTGCAATGACCGATTTTCTCCGTGCACATGTGTCGTAAGTAAATGGCAGACTAAGAATATTCAGGTCCGGCAGGACAAATTTGTTCCACATAAACCCTTCACTGCCTCAGTGCAGTTCTCGGACTTCTGATCTTCTCACCGAAGCTCTGCCAGCAGAACAGCACACGCAGCATAAACGAATAGGGTACAGGAAGATTTGTTTTTGGAGAGAAATTGTTCTTTTTACAATGTGCTAATCACGACTTCATAAGCGTGAAAATATTTTCGCTCACAAGAGTATGTCAAATAATGCGCAACCCCCCCCCCATCCCAAAGACCAGACACCGCATTGTATTGCAACAGCTCCTTGCTCCTATTTGTCTGATGACATCTGAGGAAACTACGGCTCTACAGCATCGGACGTTCTGCGGTGCCAGATGCATCTCGTACCATCAGCTGCTATGTTCTTTCTCTAAGCAGCTAGAACCAAATGGGCAATGCAATACGCCGTGAAATCTGGTCTTAAATGAAGTATGTGCCATTA